CTGTTGTATGTATGGAGTAGCCCCGGAGTGAGACCAGGTGAACTCAGTGCCGCACTGGTGGCGGTCACCGTCATGGCCAGAGCTGCGGAGTCGATGGATTTGCGATGACTCCGACTCCGACCCCGACTCCAGCTTTCAAAGACCAGCTCCGATTCCGACTCCGGGCAGAACTGACGACTCCGACCGATTCCAACTCCGACTCCGCAATCCTGCCAGGTCTGCGGAATCGATGGATTTTCGATGACTATGACTCCGACTCCGGATCCGGCTTTCAAAACCGACTCCAGCTCCGACCCCGACTCTGGTCAGTGGTCAGAACTGTCGACTCCTACTCCGCAGCCCTGATCATGACAGCCTTATGTTGCATGATTGAAGAAATCAAGATAAGCATCGTCGTTTGACACCAAAAACATTTTTTAGCAGAGTTCTACAGATTTAGTGTACAAGTACACTACAAATATGATGAATATTCCCTAGTATCTACAACTAATCAGCCACCTACTGCTAAAGTAGTAAGTCGCATTTGAAACTGCTAAACCATCCGAGGCAATTGTAGAATCGGCTTACGTCTGAAACATAAAACAACACGATTGGTGTAAAAGTTGAACGCTCCTCCACTCCAGCCACTCCTCGTAATCCGTGACTTCCTTCTGCTCACCAAGAAGAGCTTTCCGTGTGTTTAACAATAACATTAATCGCCACAATGGGAAGATACGTTTCCAGAATTGTTCACTTTTCAATTTTTTCCGTTGCTTCTCCACTAACCGTGTAGTTTAAATCAAAGCGCAACTGTTAAACTTTTTGATTTGTTAACAGTAAGGTACGTACATAGATAGGTACTAGGGTGACCCGCGTGCTCCGCAACGCGAAAGGGGTATTTTCGATCGGTGGGTGTTTGGTTGTTCTTGTGTCGGTTGGGTTATCTATCCATTTCGGTCGATTGTTTTTTGATGGCTAAATAATTTGGTTTGGAAAGAATATCCATCGCATCGAGGTGCCCGTGTCTGATAAGCATGCTTTCTACTTCAAAAACCTGTCAAATGTGTTTTATAATTTAGGTGCGTAGTTCTATGACAAATGAAAGGCGTAGATAATTTTCGCTAAAAATGGTTTTGCAGAGGTTTGAAACATTTATATTTTTAAGAGTACTGTTGCTTGTCATGCAAACGTGATGATTGGATCTTGAAGAGAATTGAATGCTCTTTCTAATGATAGCATTTTCAATTGCCAAACGTATCAGGTTAAGCAGCAAACCCCGTGTAATTATTAAGTGGCACATTATGGACAAATACCATTTTCTTCAGCGATCTGTTCCACCTTGTTTTCGATCAATTAGCTTTTCACAATTTTTCTATGAGAGACGGTAAGTACATTTCTCTTGTCAGTAGGCGTTGTTTCAACTCTCTCAGTCTGACGGTCACGTGAAAATAAAATAAAATCCAAAATCCGTTTAAAACGGCACATTTAAATGAAATTGCCCTCACGGGTGCACGTGGTGCGTGTCACCCCCTGCACCGCACATCATTCGATTGTCCGTTCGATGCTGTTTTCCCCGTGCCGATCGGGCGCACGGTTACCGAGATATTGCACGGGGACCGGACCCGTGTCGGGCAAATTTACCCATTTTCTCCCGTTTTTGCAAGCCGATTTATACAATGTAAAGTCTATGACGCGAATTTGCACTTTTTGGGCCCGCGCCACGCGCTCGATATCGACCCGATCGAGATGAGACCCCCCAAAGGCACGTTGTCCATCCTTGATCTATAAGTAGCGCGAATTTCAGCGCGCTGGGTGCAACGGTGTGACCTGTAACCCGCGCTACGTAGCACCATGTCGCGACCTCGGTTACAGACAGAAACTACGTCACCACAAATAGTAAGATAGATAGCAGCTAAAAAACAAAACAAAAAACATGAGTTGCGGCACACATACACACACCGATTATGAATGCATATGGGTGCAAAGTTTGGAGAATAGCAGCATTGTCTGTTTTTAAGTGTCATCATGGTTGCTCTGGTCGCAACCATGGCGGATACTTCGGGCGCCGATTGTTCATGAAACAAAATTGCATTGTTCATAACCATGCCTTGCTATGGTGTTCTTGATTGAAAAGTTAGTGTCTAAATGACGCCTTCTCATTCATAAGTGCAGTAAGCCCGTATAAAAATATTTCCTGGTGGTTCGTGCGCCATGTTTTTGAAGGACTCGGCTACGTGATATTGGGTCATCCTAAGAAATCTTAGGTCACTCTAAGTCGATCGTGAAAAAATAGGGAAGTATGGAATGAGACATAGCCGGTGGAACGGAGGTGGGGGGGGGAGGGGGCACCGGGGCACCGTGCCTCTTTGATTTTGCCATTTTAACATTAGCCCTATGGGCTTTGCATGGAAAGAATGGGACCAAAAATCGGCAGTGCCCCTCCCCCCCTTAATTGAATGTGTTCCGCCGCTAATGGAATGAGAAGCATATGAATTTACCTTCAAGTCATAGAACCTAAACTGCTTATCTGGTCCAAAACAGCACGTATGGACACACGATACACCGGATTTGGTGATATGCCGTTTCGAGGACGTATCCCTTAGCTGTTTAAATCACTGTTACCTGACCGGACCTAATTATTTTACCGGTGTTAAACGTAAGGCTCGGAAGATAAATTCGCGGCATTATTTTAATGCCACCCTCGGCTCAGTGTCAATCACAAAAAAACTCGCAAAGGCTCAAGCTGTTATGTTGTTTAGTGCGTATATACGATAGTTTGAGACCATTCTCTGCTGTCATCCATTCCTTATAAGAGTTAGAGCATAGGGTAGTGTGGGGTAATTTGAACATATTTTTACGTCTTCTCCATTGTACCAAATTCCAGTTCAACCCTGGATAAATAAAAACTGCTTCAGTAGCGCAAGTGTCACTTGCTTTCACCATGCAAGCCTCATTTTTGGACGAGCCGAGCATACCTTGAATAGCATAGCCTCACTTCTCCACCAAGTCACGGTGTGTTCAAATTGCCCCACCGTGGGGTAATTTGAACATACTGCCTTTACCTGTCATAAAAACGATAGTCTCGCCAGCACCGATGTTGTTTGACCCATAAACAAATAGGCAGAACAATTTTAAACATACCTTCACTTGAAAAATCAACACAACAGCAAAAATAACAGTTGCAGAGTATCAATATCTGCACGCTGCACACCGGTCAGTTGACAGAATTCGCCCCTCTTCAATTAACAGAACGTCTATCATTTTTGTTCGATAAAAACTCTCCCAACCGTACTACATCTGTTAAAGTGGTGCCAATCGAAACCTGGACATTTGGAGTTCTGATTTTGTCCAATGTCCAATTCGGAATTGGTTGGACAAAGGTAGCAGACTGGACAACATTGGACGATGGCTTGCTACACTTCAGCGCTTTTTATAAAGTAATCGTGCATAGCATTGATTGGCGAATGGAAAGCTTGTTAAGGTCTCAATATAATGAAAACTTTTCGGCTGGTTAAATTACATGATAAGCAATATAAATGACGGTTTTGAGTGTTGATAGCTGCATAAATTTTCGGACATATTTGGACAAATAGTTGACTTTAACATTTTTGGACGGAAAATCAACAAAAATGCCGAACATTAGACGGATATTAGACGTAAATTTTCTAAAACTGGCATCACTTATCTGCTACTGCCTTGGGTCGAAAATATTGGCAAAAAAAAACTGGGAGCGTTGTTTTTTTCGGAGCTATCCCTGTCTTCATTCAAATTCTCACACTATGTTCAAATTACCCCACGCTAAAAGTTATTTTGCCATTTTAAAAAACAGGGTTCAAAAGCAAATTTCTTGGATTGAAGGCACTGATTAGGTCATTATACAACAAAAGCCGTTGCGTATTAGGCGCTAGCAATGCAAGATTTTGCGCTGCAATGAAGTTGCAATGACGTGTTGTTAGGCGTTTTTCCTTGCGAAATTAATTTTTTACACTGTGCGTCAACATCTTCATTCCCTGAAACTTTACACCCCGTTCATATGATAGCCCTTTTAGTTACGATAATTTCTCTCATTGGTCTTATTGTCATGCCACTTATGGATTTTCCGTAATTTTGTGTTATTCACACTATGTTCAAATTGCCCCACATGTTCAAATTACCCCACCCTACCCTACTATTGTAATTCATTGTTATAGAAATCACTTGAAACACGTGAAGCATAAAGAAGCTCACCAAAATAATACGCTAATGCCCATCATTTTCTTTTTCTTTGAGAGATATTCCTAGGAACGATCCCTTCGTCAATACACGGCGAAAACAGAGCATATTAATGCCAATTGTAGAGTCAATTCCTGCAGCTGCATGTGAAGTATAACGGTCATATGAAACAACAGCAGCAGCAACAGCATCAAATATCGTTCGATTGCATTACCAAGTAATGTGAGACATGTTGACATTATACCGCGATATTGACCGGTAACAGGACGGCAAATGCTATTCCCGGTAATATCAGAGCTGTGGTCGATTGGAGCGCTATTGGAGGCATCCATCAATTTTACCATTAGGTGGTGGCATGGCAGGCTTTATTCACCGCTAATTTTATGAGCGCTCCTAGTCCGATGCACGCCACATTCCAGTCAATCAGAAAGGTCATTAGCAATGCCATTGCGTTATATGCGGTGATTTCATTAGCCTACATACGAGTACCAGGCCATGCCGTTTGGAATTAATTCGCCCACAATCTGATCATTCTACCATTTAAGTCTATTAAGCAATGAAGAATTAATAACCGGACACTAATTTCAACCAGCTCTAATCTATCGAATTGCGGCGCCGTTATCGAATTAAGATCATTTACACCCGTGCCAGCTCTATTTCTCATCCAGAACGAGTCACTAATGGAGAGCGAACCGCGCCGGACGCTGATTGGTGGAGCGCGCCGCTGGCTCCGCCCACTATGGATCCGGGGCGGAGTTAGGGCGGGGCGTCGGTGGGAGCCGGCTTGGCTAGCCGCGCTAACAGCCGACATTCTAACTGGCTTTCGGCGGCCGGCGGGACGGACGCGGTTCTCGGCCTCAAGGTGCCGTGAGACGTGTCGAAGGAACATTTTCATCCGTGTTTGCGTGGCGTGGCTTACTAAAACGCTTACCAGCCAACTCAGCAAGTTTTCGGTGGTGGCAAGCGGCGGTGAAACGAAGATAATCGAGAAACAAGCGATCACCGGTGCGGCGGGTCGCAAGGAAGTCGAACTGCAAGACCAGAACTGTTGCAGAAGTGGCTTCAAGTCGGCAGCAGAGACTCCCTACCAGTGTTACCAACAGTGGGAACTTTATCGGACCTTAGACAGTGGCTGTTGACAACTCCAACGAACCCTGACAATCAGCGAAGTGGCAAAGAACGACTGGCAGCGGCCGATGCGGTGCTAAGCTGGCTCCGCCGCCGCCGCCGCCACCACGCCACCACCCGCCGCCGCCTCGCACCATGCTACTGGAGACCATGCTTCCCCACCTGGGCTACGGCGGCATGCCCTTCGGCATGCTCTTACCACGACCTCTGGTGCCTCTTCCGTTCCCGGTGGCACGACCCAAGCCGATGCCAGCGATGGAAGGCGGTCACCCGGGAGGACTTCAGTTTGGCGTGCAGCGAATCCTGACAGGTCACCTGACTGGTCATTTGACGGGTCATCTGACGAGTCATCTGACGCCACCGGGTCAGGGTCACAACAAGACGGAAGAGAGATGCGAGAAGGATATGGATGAGGGTGAGTAGAGAGGGGAGGAGAGAAGAGAGTAAAGAGGGGGAGGTGGTTGTTAAATATCGGTACCTCAGAAGCGGACGGAGAGCTTACTTATCATATCATTTACATGTTTGTGAATGGGTGTGGAAACGGTCTCAAAAAAGCTTGTGTGGTATGGAAATGGCCGTGTGAAAAATCGATATCAAAGTTGAATCTGTTGTCGAATAGATCTTACGACACCAACCACAAGCAAAATTGTTCTCATGTTGCTTTGGTGCGACGGGATTCCTACAACATATACCTATTTGAATGTACGGAACGAGTTCTGAAACCTGGTGCGTGGCAAGATGATGCCACCGCCCGCCGCCGCCAATTCAATAGGATAATTCGACAGAAGGTTTGAGTCTGCTGAGAACATGTTTTCTTTTACAAACTGTCATTATATTCATGTTAGACTACCATGCAGTGGTGTTTATACAATTTAGACCTCTCACACCCAAGGTTCCGTGTGGCTCCAACAGTGGTCCCATAACCTCACTGGGTCAAACAACGGACCTCTCAGTTCTCTGAGTGAAGCAGTAAAGTACCGATCCTTCCTAAGCCACAGCCGACGCGCCTCGACGGTCGGTCGGCCGCCCCAACTCGATCGCCACGGGGCGACCTGAGCCAAGGCGCCAGCGGCCGGGTTTTCCGACCGATTGCAGAACAAAACATACGCGGGGCCCGCACTGCAGCGGGTCGACATTGGGCCCGCTTACAAATGCGCAAATGAAATGGGCGTTCATAATACATGTGTCTAAGAGTTTTCAACCGCTCATCCTTTGGATGACATCATATTCATTGAATAATGTGTAACGCCTATGCTACCAGTAGTGGCGGAACACCTTCAATTAAGGGGGGGGGGGCACTGCCGACTTTTGGTCCCATTCTTTCCATGCAACGCCCATAGGGCTAATGTTAAAATGCCAAAATCAAAGGGGAGCACGGTGCCCCGGTGCCCTCCCCGTTCCGCCGCCTATGTATGCTACCATCGTATTGTCGTTGTTATCTGCATCACTTCAATACGAGTATGATGATGTCGCATACACGCAATAATTCAAGTAACCAGTTCAAGAAAAATAAAGGGTAAAAATGGGTAAAAAAAATAAGCAAAAATAAATTAGATTACAACCAGTAAGCTGGTCAGAAGAAAAAACTAATGAATTCTGGACAGCTGCCCATGCTAAAGTCATATCAAGGAGCAATCGGTGCATTTTTTCTAAATAGGCATCTAGACAGCTCCATTTCGTATATCCAAAGAGAAATAGATTATAAATACACGCGATCTGTCACTAAAGCGATATAAGCGTGTAACAGGATGCATCAACCGCAGTTTTATATAACAGAATAACAACAGACAAAGGAGCCTCAGATAAATTCCCAGCAAACATGCCCACATGGTTCCCATATGGGGCCCACATGGGCCCCCCACCTCTTCCATATGGGTCCCACATGGGAATGGCAGTGGGTGACACGTGGGACCCATATGGGTCAGCCCACGTAGGCCCCATATGGGACCCACGCGGCGCCCACATGGGACCCATATGGGTAGCCCATCTGTAGCCCATGTCCCACGTGGGCCCATCTGGCCCATGTTCACCCCATATGGGACCCACATGGGATGCCCATCTCCAGCCCATGCATGCGTTTGGCCCATCTGGCCCATTTTTATCCCATATGGGGCCCATATGGGTAGCCCATCTGTAGCCCATGTCCCACGTGGGCCCATCTGGCCCATGTTCACCCCATATGGGACCCATGTGGGCATGTTTGCTGGGTTACGCCATAACTGAAGAATTCTAGTGCAGAAAAAAAAGAATTCTGACCACAGAAGAATTTCATTACGTTACAGTACAACACTGATCTCACGTTCTGAAAAAAAATCATCCAATGCAAGCTCTTCGCAGATTTTTGCTCTTCTCTTCAACAGTTACATCTTCTCAAACCACATTTCTTGTTTAAAGGACAAGCCCTTAAAGAATTGTTATTGCTAAAGGTAAGAAGATCTAAAGAAGCTTACGGTCCTCCCACTTCCTAGTCCTGGCTCCTACTCCTAAGAGAATAACTCAGAGTGAATGTAGAACAGGTGCATTCATTGCTGATCTAAGACTCGTAGGCTCCAATCATGGACCATCGTTTTCGTGCAGACTACCGATTATAACCATGACATATGCCTTGAAATAACAATAGTCAGCACATTTTGATTTGATTAACCACATTACATAAATATCCATCAAACAACTCAATAGAGCTAATTATTCAGCTTTAGCTCCGTCGTAATTAGAGCTAGTTTCGTACTACACTGAAAAAAATAATGACACCTAAAAGGGGTGTTTTTTGAAGCGTACCAAAAACGCGCAGTTTTCTGGAGTCCGATTACACCCGGAATCAGACACTTTCTAGGGTATTATGACACTGGTTGAGGGTGTATTTTTACACCGTACGTCGTCAAATGATTCCCGGAATCATACGCCTTATGGAATAAAAATACACCCCAAATCAGAGTCATAATACTCTAGGAAGTGTCTGAAGTGTCTGATTCCGGGTGTAATCTGACTCCTGGAAACTGCGCGTTTTTGGTACGCTTCAAAAAACACCCCTTTTAGGTGTCACTTCAGGGAGTAATCGGATTTTGAGGGTGTATTTTGATCCCACACGGTGTATGATTCCGGGAATCATTTGACGACATGGGGTATAAAATACACTCCCAACCAGAATCAGATTACCTCGGGGGGTGTCTGATTCCGGGTGTAATCGGTCTCCTGGAAACTGCGCGTTTTTGGTACGCTTCAAAAAACACCCCTCGTAGGTGTCACCTCAACGGTGTCAAATGACTCTTGGGATGGTTTTTCTATACCGGTTCAGAGCCTGTTCCTGTTAGCGTCATACATCAGCTAATATAAATATTACCGGTACTATTGGTCTCCTAATATGAGAAATACCGGTAATATTCGAGTGCAGGGATTGGGTTGTGTACAGGGGTGAGGGATGCACTCGAACCGAGCTGCGGCGAGGGTATAAAGGGTATATGTATTCATCGCATCAGAAAAACAGGTCGCCTGGGCCCTTATCTTGAGACCAATAGTATGGTACAACTAACCAACATACTCATGGGTATGTTCTGCTTCTGAAATTATAGGAACGATTAGCCAGACTGCAACGAGACTTTAAATGTACACTGAAAAAAATAATGACACCTAAAAGGGGTGTTTTTTGAAGCGTACCAAAAACGCGCAGTTTTCTGGAGTCCGATTACACCCGGAATCAGACACTTTCTAGGGTATTATGACACTGGTTGAGGGTGTATTTTTACACCGTACGTCGTCAAATGATTCCCGGAATCATACGCCTTATGGAATAAAAATACACCCCAAATCAGAGTCATAATACTCTAGGAAGTGTCTGAAGTGTCTGATTCCGGGTGTAATCTGACTCCTGGAAACTGCGCGTTTTTGGTACGCTTCAAAAAACACCCCTTTTAGGTGTCACTTCAGGGAGTAATCGGATCTTGAGGGTGTATTTTGATCCCACACGGTGTATGATTCCGGGAATCATTTGACGACATGTGGTATAAAATACACCCCAAATCAGAGTCATAATACTCTAGGAAGTGTCTGAAGTGTCTGATTCCGGGTGTAATCTGACTCCTGGAAACTGCGCGTTTTTGGTACGCTTCAAAAAACACCCCTTTTAGGTGTCACTTCATTGAGTAATCGGATCTTGAGGGTGTATTTTGATCCCACACGGTATATGATTCCGGGAATCATTTGACGACATGTGGTATAAAATACACCCCAAATCAGAGTCATAATACTCTAGGAAGTGTCTGATTCCGGGTGTAATCTGACTCCTGCAGGTGTCACCTCAACGGTGTCAAATGACTCTTGGGATGGTTTTTCTATACCGGCTCAGAGCGTGTTCCTGTTAGCGTCATACATCAGCTCAGAAAAAAACAGGTCACCTGGGCCCTTATCTTGAGACCAATAGTATGGTACAACTAACCAACATACCCATGGGTATGTTCTGCTTCTGAAGCTTATAGGAACGATTAGCCAGACTGCAACGAGACATTAAATGTAGCTTACATGTGTCTTCACCCTTGCAGCTACAATTTTATCTATTGACGATGACGTCTTCTTTTCAATCAGTCTTTATACCAGATATTGTCAAATGATTCTGGGAATCATACACCTTATGGGATCAAAATACACTGTCCAACAGAGTCATAATTGCAGTTGTTAACCACGTGACGCAAATTAACAATACATGCATGTCATTCTTTATTTTATATGCAACAATAAATTCCAAAACATTTGGGCACGAAATGTATGGCAAAATCTAATGAAAACTTATCGTAAGGCTCATGGGTCCGTGACTTCATTCACCGTAAGGAATTACTCACATTTCAACAATGTTCCATCAACCGGTGATTATTGCTACTTAGGTAGAGTTATTCTGCAGCTTAATGACATAAAAACTTACCTCCGTCTCCATGGTGCATTGCTATCTTGTCCTACTTCAAAATTTCGCCGAGTGCAGCGCCTCGTTATTTAAATACGCATGTTGAGCAACTACAAATAAAATCAGTTTATCGTTAAAGCACTATCACTTGAAGTAAATCTACACTTTAAACAACGTTTGGCGACATTACAAGCGCGTTAATTCAAATAAGTTCCTCTCCCCGCTCACACCACACGCACCCACGTGGGCACACTTCCGGCAACTGAAGTCAACGGCTTTCCTAACGGTTTTCCTGCAAGGTCGAGCTATTTCATCTTCGTGGCGGACCGGCATGGCTAGAACACAAATGACGTCACACGACAATGCAGCTTGCTGATTGGCCGGGCATTGACTCAAACCACTGGACCTGAGCTGTGGTTCGCACCAGGGTTACAGAGTCAGAGTCAGAGTCGGGTGGAGTTGACAGTTGTGGCCGGAGTCAGAGTCGGAGTCGACTTTGGAAGCCGGAGCTGGAATCGGAGTCT